ATTAGTTGTCACTCCATTCAATTTTAATTGTTGAGAATATTCATTCAATTTCATGCAGTAATGTAGTACAAAACCTTGTTCACAGGCTCATGCTGGACCATGCGAAAGAAGCAATTCAAGATTGCCCATCCAAGAAGAATAAAGAGGATGATGACAAAGAATCCAAGAAAGGCAATCAAGATGTAGAGAATGACATGGAATGAGATCACAGAATGCGTCGTTGAACTTGAGAGGGTGAATTCCGGTGCTAGTGAAACGGTCTCGGAAACATTTGCTGAACTCATTGACCATTATATCGGGGCTGATTTTTTGAAGATGTTTCTGGATGCAAGTCCAGACCAAGTTTAACTCTGTTTTGCAAAGTTCTGTACAATATTTCAAGTACAATAACTATCGATTGTTCATCATTCTAGTTTGAAAAAAATCGAATCCTGTGTTCAAGTAACAAAACGACGACATCAAACTGCTGACTCAAACATTACTCCCATTTGCCACTTACTGACAAGATGTCTTCTACCTTGTATCGCAATTTGGTCAATTTCGGTGATCGCCATGTCCCCTCTTCACTGCGTCCACTCTGGGAATCTGAGTCGGGTCCAAAGACCATTTTCTTTTGGGCTCCACTTTGCAAATGGGTGCTCGTCATTGCCAGCGCCTCGGATCTGAATCGTCCGGTAGAGAAGATCTCCGTCGGGCAGACCACTTCCCTCGTGGCCACCGGTTTGATCTGGGCTCGCTACTCGATGGTCATCAAGCCAGTGAACTACCTCTTGATGTCCGTGAACGTCTTCATCGCTGGCACCAATATAGTTCAGCTTGGTCGTGTTGTTCACAGCCGCCAGGCCAAGTGAATCAAGGCTTCTGGATGACCTGATTCCCTTTATTTGTACTTAAACATGTTTAACATTTTGAAATTATTTTTATTAAAAGCCGTACTTTAACGGGCAAACCAACAATGATCCAGGAACCTCAAAGCAGCTGCTCCAGTTGGCGCCTTACATCAGTGTTTACCTTTATGTTCACCTAAGGGGCACTCGATGGCGGTAGCGTTTGCGCAAAATGTTGCGTTCTCTGCTCGTCTACGCTTGATGCACTCACAGCTGATGATCAGTGAGAAAGGCGAGCTTGTTTTGCAAGTGATTGCCTGTCCAGGGTGAGTCTGGCCAAGCTGAAATTGTCACGGCCTGGCAAGTCGCTGTCACTCTTATCGTACAGCTAAGTGAGCCGTTGTGTCTCGACACGCCAAGTCTACAGCGAGATATGCCTCTACCAGTGACCAGCATCGTCAGCAGTACAGTTGCCACTTGCCAGTTGCATTGTTCGTCTCCAGTGGAGTGAAGTTGCAGTGTGCCGTGTCTGTGCATTTCATCGACTCGTCATCGACCAGGCGCCACTTCCCTTCCCTTCCCTTGCCTTCACTACGCTGGCCTACATCTCCTGTAATGTGACGCCAGTGCATCAGTGCCATCAGCAAAGGGCACTCCCCCGTATCAATTGTAATTAAGCCCTTCTCTTCCTTTGATAGATCAGGTTGCAGGCGCTTCGCTAAGCTGCAGCTGATGTGCTCCTCTTGTACCCGTGATCATGGCGACCACCACCGGGGATAACGTCCATAGCCGAGTGCGCACAGTGTCCTCAAGCAGCGGTGACAACATGGGCGAGGATACCAGGCCTGACGGGTACTCTTCCGATTCATCGGCAGCCGCTTCCGACGAGTTCTACGACGCCATTGCCGATGAACATGGAGACGGTGTGCCTGAACCTGGCCCCTCCACCTTGGGCGTCTCTGCTTCAGCCAGCAGTGGCAGCAGTACCGCTGTCAGCAGCAGTAACAGCAACAACAACAACAGCAACAACTCGACCCCTACAGCCCGACCCGGGCCAAGTGCAGTAGCATTATCAGCTAGTCATATGGCAGACAGTGGCATCTTTTCGATGCATTCCAGTCATGTCGACACATTTACCGCATCATCTTCCCTCCACAACGCGACCGAAGAGATTACACCAAAGGAAACTGGCACCTTGAGCACTCACCCAATTCCACAGTCCACGACGAGTGAACCGACGTCATCAGGTGAAACTGAGCTTATCAACAAACCCAATCCTATGCCACGTCCGCCGCCTAGGACTCGGAAGAAGGGAGGCCTTTCAAAGCAAAACAGCATGGTCGACAAAAGTCGAGACAACAGTGAAAACAATGGCAACAACTCCTCTTCGGCCGATAGCAGAAGCATGACCAATTCAGTAGAGTCAACCACTGCTAGTGTCGGCAAAATCACCATTGGAAATACGGGGCAAAACTTGACCAGCGTTCTCGATGACATTGTCAGCATCAAAGGAGATCTCCACATCTCCGATGCAGGTGATAAAGCCAGTGTTTACCTTGAAGGACACCAGGGAATGAAAAATTCGCTCATCAAGCCAGAGCTCATCTTTTCTCATGAGCAGCTAAGGGAAATTTCGAAAAGCCTCACAGCCTCCTCAGCAGCGCAAGCACAGAGCAGTCAGCCTGCAGAAGGAAGCAAAACGGACGAGACTGGCCAAGTGATTAACCAAATAATGATTATGAACATTGACACTGGGGAGAAGGTGCCTCTAAGCAAGGCGGAAAACCTTCTGCCCAAGTGTTTGAATCCACTAAGCCTTCATCTGATGAAGCTCACCAATGATTTTAACGAGAATGAGGAGAAAAAGGGCAACTCTCTTGAGAAGGAATCAGCCGATACTACGTTTAAAAGTGTCACCTCGCTCATATCCTCCACGCTGAGTGACATTAAAAGTGAAATGAGAGACAAGTCGCTGGACAAAAAGGCAAAGAAAAAGATGAAAGAACTACTGAACGATGAACTGAACGAGTCCCATGAGGAGGGTCAGGAGAGTGACATTGACGAGGAGAAGCACAATGCCGACGGCAAGGATGGAAGGTTTCGCTCAAAGTTCAGAGACTTGAAAAAACTAGGATCGGGCCTGATTAGAGGCGTGAAGGGAGTGAAGGCTTCGGCAGCGGGAAAAGAGCGCTCTACCTTTCACGTCGACCTAAAGGCGTACGGAAGTGAGCCAGAGCCGCTGGCACCGCCGCCGCCACCGCGCTACAAACTAAAGGTGAACCACAAGCGAGGCAGCGCCGACTTTGACGGACTGAAGCTGGTGCAGGAGATCAACGACTGCAAGGGCGCCATTTGGTGCATGAAGTACAGCAACTGCAGTCAGCTGCTGGCCGCCGCCGGCCAGGACCACATGCTGCGCGTCTACTGCGCACAGAAGTCCTGGAAGTACTTTACGCAGCTGCGAAACAAAGCCTCCGGACAGCACATTTCCCCGAACTCCACCAAAGAGCGAAGCAGTGCCAACGGCGACTCATTTGGCCGCTCCGTGCACCGGTCCTCCTTCTCGCGCAGTGGCAGTCTGAACGCCAGCGACAACAACTCCCACAACAACTCCTCCTCCTCGTCCTCCTCCTCTGCCTTTGCCAAAGAGATGTACCGCGACGAGGACAACACCCTCTCGGAAGAGGGGCCGCTGCTGCTGTTCACCATCTACCGCGGCCACACTGCCGACGTGCTCGACCTGGCCTGGTCGAAGAATCACTTTCTCCTCTCTGCGTCCATGGACAAGACGGTTCGCCTGTGGCACATTACCCGCATCGAGTGCCTGTGCACCTTTCGGCACATTGACTTTGTGACGACCATTCAGTTTCACCCCCGTGATGACCGCTACTTTCTCAGCGGATCACTGGACGGCAAGCTGCGCCTGTGGAACATTCCCGAGAAGCGGGTGACGCTGTGGAACGAGGTGAACGCCCTGCCGGTGCAACGAGGCGGCGGGGGCAGCAGTGGTGCGGCGGAGACGGACAGCAGTCCGACGCACGGCCTCATCACTGCCTCGTCCTTTGTGCAGAACGGCAAGTTTGCCGTCATCGGCACCTACGACGGACGCATCATCTTCTACACTACCGACCAGCTGAAGTACTTTACCCAGATTCACGTCAGCGCAAAGAACTCCTCCTCGGGCAGTGGGGGCAGTCGAAAGGGCTGCAATCAGAAGGTGACCGGCGTGGAGAGCGTCGACGACAACAATAAGATCCTCGTGACTACCAACGACTCTCGCCTGCGACTGTACGACCTGCGCGACCTGTCGCTGACCTGCAAGTACAAGGGCTGCATCAACCAGTCCAGTCAGATCAAGGCGGCCATCTCCCACGACCACAAGTACATCATCTGCGGCTCGGAGAACAACTCCTTCTACATTTGGCGCATTCAGGACAACTCGACCATTGGCCAGCGCCGTGACCGCAACAAACAGTACGAGTGCATTCGCCTTCTCAATCCGCCCTCTCCGCCCTCGGTCACCTCGCCCATCTTCAACGAATCGTCTGCTGGCACCAGTGCAGGCACAGCCGCCAGTGGCTCCAAGGCCGTCGATGGCAGCAGTGCTGGTGGTGGTGGCGGTGGTGGTCTGCCAACGGACAAGGACGCTGTCAACGCTCTGTCCTCTGCCATTCAGCCCTTGCCCTCCACCTCCACCTCCTCTTCTGCCTCTGCTTCCTCTTCGGCAGTGGCAAGCAAAGGTGGAGGTGGTGATCAGGCGAGCACTTCAGCTGCCTCCGTGCCGGGCGGCAGCAGCGGCCTCGTCAGCCTTCAGCCCAGTGCGCCCCACTCCAATGCGGCCACGAAGATCGTCACCTCAGCCATCTTTGCGCCCGTTCCCGGTCAGATCGACGACAAGTCGAAGTATGTGATTGCCATTGCCGACTTTAACGGCTTTATACGCATTTTTAGCAAACATTGAAATCTGCTGCTGCTGCTCAGTGTACTGTTGCATGTCGTGAGAAAGAGAGTTTATTTATTTACACTGCACATGATATTATTTACATTACAATGTTAATTATTGACACTGTTGACTATTGTTACAATTTCAACGAATAATAAATGCTAAAAGGAGTAACTCTATTATAATGGGACTGTCGAGAAGGGGAGTATTGAAAGCTAGGCTGTCGTCCTTCAGTTGGAGGTTAGTCGCCGGCTGCCGTTGAGGTTGTTCAGGTGACGGAAGCGGTTCTTAATCTCGGTGCTTAGAAAGTTGGTGCTGTTCGTCTTTACATTTTCACTATTGCTTCGCAGCGACTTTGGCAACATTCGCGCCTGACTGCCATTGCGGTAGGTGTACATTAAATCATTAAACTGTTTCTCTTTCAGTTTGCCCTTTTCAAAAAGCAAGCCCAGTTTGGTCAGTTCTCGTTGACCTACTCGATTAGCTGGAGAGTAGTTTTGATCAAGACCATTCTCTTTCTGGCTAGAATTGCTGTCCTGCGTCATCAGCTTAGAACTTGCTTCGTCGCCATTCGGGACATCATTTGAAATTGATTTTCGAAAGTTGTAAACGCGCTTAGGTTCATCTTCTAACAAATAAGTAAAGTTCAGTAAAACACATTACATAAAAAACTCAGCAACCTACCTTTATCAGTTTGGTCTTCCATTTTAATTAGCTTTCTCGGTGAAAGGGATAAAGATCTGCTCTTGATTTGATCCGAGTTGAACTGCGAAATCTCCTCAGCAGCTGCCAAGTCAAGCTTTCGCTTGGCTCTAGAGACAATTTCGTACTTTCTGGCCTGGTGACTGGTAGCAGCTTTTGAAGTTGATGGTGGCGACTTGCAGACTTTAGATTTAAAACTTTCAGAAAACTTGACTTCATCAGCTTCATCAATTTGCGAAGAATCACTTTGAGCTGACATTTCTGAAAAGCCGTTTTCAAGTTCATTTGGCTTTCGTTTGTTTGCTGAGCTCATGTACACTCTAGCGTACGGGTTCGGAATTGTTTTTGATGATCCCTGAAAGGATCCTGCTCGCGAAAGCCGTTTCAGCTGTCGAAGAATGTGATTAGTCAAATTTTTGTACGAACTTTCGTTCTGTTTCCTCAAAGAGCGCCCGTCCTGAGAAGCGCAACTTGAAGTGCCAATTGATGGAGTGCATTCGCCGGATTTAGGTTCATCTACGAACGATGACGTTGAGGGCTCCACTGGTGGTGCAGCACCTGAAAAAGCAACAGACTGCGGCTCAGGTTCTCCTACTTCAGGCGCACTCAGGTAAATGTTGTCGTGCTTTAGTATTTGAAGAAAAAGCTCGTTATTTGCAACAGGAGCTGGTGTGGGTGTGAGTTGCTGGATGCTGGATGTTTCACTGCTAGTTGAACTGGTGGTGGTAGTGGACGCAGGTGCTGAAAGATCGACACCGAGAAACACTTTGCAGGCATTCTCAAACACTTCCTTCTGTGTGGAAATGAAGCGATGCTTTAGCCTTTCTCTCTTGGTCACCATGTACGTCAGAGTGCGTAATCGCTCGAGGTGGTATCGGAACTCAATCAGCTTGGTGTGCTGAATGTGCATCTCCTCTTCAAACTTTTGCGCAAACGTGGGCTTGATGAGAGAATTGCCATAGTTGGAGATTCGCTTCAGTTTCCAGTAGTTGTGTATCAGATCGACTATTTGCTGCAGCACTTTGGGTGTTATAGTGCAGTCCTTCACCAGAGAATCCGATGTTTCACTCTCAGAAAGGTATTTCTTGCAAATCTACACAATGAAAAATACAGTTAATATTGCAATTTTTAAAATGTGAAAAAGACAACTTACCTCTTGGTAAATTTTACTGATCTCCACATACTTCCAAAACTCGTACTGAGGATTCGTATGAGAAAGCTTCTCCTCGTCGCTCACTGAACGCGATATAAAATCAACCTCCTTGGCAGAATTCACATTCGTATGCAGGTGATCTAGTGAATGCTTCGGGCAATACGACTTTAGCAGTACATTGGTGCTGGCGTCTGAGATAACAAGCTTCATCTTCAACTTGTGCTTGAAAGCACAGGTCACGTGATATGCTGCTCGGCAATTCCTTGTATCGCATAAGATAGGTGTTCCTTTCTTCACGTTGCAAAGCGAACACATCAAGCCCCAACGCCAATTTGGAATGTCTTTAGTTTCGATTGGTTCCAGAAATTGTGTTTCTAAAAACTTAACTTCTGGCACCCAGAAGGCGCAGCTGACGTGACACCACTTGGAGTTGGTGGTCGGCTTCATAGCGCCACCAACGTTTGGACACAAAACACATACGGCATTCTTCTTTGAACCTGTGTATATTTGGATGAATGGTGTCCTTCATTAGATCATTTCAATGTAAAAAGAAATACATACCCAAATCTCGACAAGAATTGCAAAACCAGTCCCCGAGTGGAATATCCACAATTCCATAGCAAGCTTGATGAACACAGATGTTGCAGTTTTCGCAGAAAACCATTTCATTATCGTCTTCTGCGTCAGGACTATAAAGTAAACTAATGTAAAAAACACTTTCACAGGGAAAAATGTACTCCTTCACACTTACTTTTGACAGACGTCGCAGACGATGTGGTCGTTGTACTCAATGCCCATCTGCTGCTCTTTGATGTTTCTTGCGCAATGCTGCTCCAACTCATTCACCACATCTTCCAGTAAGGTGTCAGAAATTTTAATCGACAGTTCTGCATTTAACGTTTCCAGCCAGCAGATGTCCTGAAGATCAAGTTCATACAAATTTGTCGGCGTTGAAGATTCATATTCGTCCTAGAAAACAAAGTGTAACTAAAATGTATTTAATATAAAAACAATTTGAATACCTTTATGTAATGTTTGGGCAACTTGAAGGAATGATCGTCAGTCGATTCGGCATTAGTCGGCGCTTGTTTATGGACTGGACTTTTACTTGTAGAAGGGCCGTCTTTCTGGTCACAGCAGGTATCAAGCAGCTTAATTTTTGCCTGCGGCAAAGCGTCGGCATTGACGGGAACTTGTACCCCCTTCTCCCACTCCTCTCTCCAAGGGTCGAGGATTCGAAGATAGTGGTCGCGGTTCAAATTCTCGTGGTCTGGCATCTTCATTGCTGATATGAGATCTTTTCGCACCAGTTCGGCGGGCTTTTTACGATGTTGCAAGTTGTATATTCTTGCCTTGTTTAGGCCCAAGTATTCCTTAAACGACGCGATCCCTGTTGCAAAGATTAATTTAATCACAAATAAAAGCAAATAAATACGACTTTACCTTTGATTCGTGGGTGTTTTGATGAGCCCATTGTCGATGAGGCATTCATACTCTAGTACTGTATCTACGATGGGCGATAACAACCGATTATCAGACAGTTGATAACTAGGCAACTGCTTTTAAGCAGATGGTGGCAGAAGCATATGCATAAAAATAAACAATGAGACAAGGTGAGAGGATAAGATGCAAAAAGTGCGCCAAAAGTGACGTCACCGTGAGGGGAAGCGCATGACAACTTCAGAATGAGTAAAGTAGTAAACAAAATTCGATTCAGGGTGATTCGAAAGAGGTAAAAAATATAATCTAAGCGCGCAAAATTGAAAACTAAACCGAGGTATTTTAAAGCACAAAATGCTAAACAAAGAGATTGTCAGTTTGAGCTAGCTCTGCAGCGCTAACAGTACTTCTGGCGCAGAGCAGAAGTAAAAAATCACCTGACAGCAACAACAGAGAGCAGTGTTGTTACGTCAGAATTATTTGTTGATGAAGCGGTGGTTCATGTAGGAGATCTCACCCTGAGGAGTGGCACAAAGTGAAGCGTTGCGTAAAGAAGTGTTCACTGGTGGCCTTGACAGGCCAACAGAGCTTCACTGGCAACGGTGAGGGCGGCCAGTGACCGGAGAGAGGCACTGAACTGAGGTCGCTGGGCAAAGGGGAGTCGTTGTCGGGAGGCGGTTGCCCAGCCAGCAGAAGGGTCCTCTGCAAAGCGTACAGAGACTGGTAGGGAAAAGGCAAACCTAAATTGGCAGACACAACGTCCAGAAGCAGCAGCAGAGAGCGCCAAAGAGTACAGCGCCGTTCGCTCAGCAGGGACAGGCTTCTCAGGATTGGCTAAAGCGTAGGCGAATCCTCCTCCTGACAGCAGTATCCAATGGTGACTCTTCTCTCCACATTCGCCACTGTTTACCGCCAAGATGGCGAGCCTGGAACAGGGCAATTTGCACCCTGATAGTCGGCCGCTGACTATTTCCACCGAGGAACTTTGTTTTGGATCGCCGACAAGAAAACAGGTGTGCGGCCAATTTACCCTGGCAAATTATCATTTTTCTGAAAGAGCAATGACACTTCAATGGATGCACTTTCGAAAAGCAAAACACATTCTTCAGTCTCCAGTTTTCAGTGTTCAAGCACGGGCAAATGCTTCCTTTCTCAGCGCTTTCAGTGACATCAACAGCTCAATCGCCAACTCTGCGGTGTTGCAGTTTACCAAGGACAGTTTGATCTCATTTCACGAATGGTCCCACTTGCCCTGGTTCGCCGAAATCGCCCTTGTGACCATTGCGGCACGATGTCTGATCGCCTTTCCCTTGACTGTTAATCAAAGGCGAATCATTACTCGGTATGAAGCACTGACGCCGGAGATACTGGCAATTTCAAAGCATCTACAGGCAAAGGTCAGAGATGAAGCGTACCTGGTTGGTCGCAGTAAGAAAGGAACGAACGCGGTTTACAGGAGAGAGGTAAGTACTCTTTAAACGTTGGATTCTAATAAGTGGTGCTTACGATGGTTTGTTTGACGACAGCTGACGAAGGAGATCAATCGGTTGATTGTCCGCGACAACTGCCACCCCACGAAGGCAGCCATGGTGCCCCTCTTTCAGATCCCCATGTGGATCATTCTCTCGCACTCCTACCGGAACCTGGCCAGGCTGTACCCCAACCCTGCTGACCCAGCCTCACTGATGGCATTCTCACAGCTTCAGCAGGAGGGCATTCTCTGGTTCCACGACCTGACGGTGCCTGATCCCACCGGAATCCTGCCCGTGGCCACAGCTCTAGTCAACCTGACCATCATTCAGCTGCACGTCAATGAGCGGAGGCGAAACAAACTGCAGGATTCATTTTTCATCAAGTTCATCACCAACGGCGGCCGCCTCTTCAGCCTGATCATCGTGCCTATTGGCCTGGTGATGCCTGCCGACATGTCCTACTACTGGCTCATTTCCTCTTCAGTTGGCCTCCTTCAAAACATCCTCCTGATGAATCCAAAGTTTAAAACAATGATGAACATAAACACACCAGCGGCAGTTGAAAGTGGCAATAAGGTTTAATTGAAGTGGTAGCTGAGGAGTTTATAAAAATGCGTAAAATAAAATAATTAATGTGATAGCGTATATGTGCTTGATGGGGAGTAGTAAAAATGATGGTCCTCTTCAGTCTCTCTAGTCATCCACCAGGTAGTCGGGATGGACCACCAGAATGTGATCCGGAGCCTGTGTTTCCTCCTCGGTCTCGCCCTCCTGTTCCACCTGGGCGCCTGCCTCGTCGGTGCGCAACTTNCGTTCTTCAGTCTCTCTAGTCATCCACCAGGTAGTCGGGATGGACCACCAGAATGTGATCCGGAGCCTGTGTTTCCTCATCGGTTTCCTCCTGTTCCACCTGGGCGCCTGCCTCGTCGGTGCGCAACTTTTTGGTGGGACGTTCCTCAGCAGCACCATCCTCCGACGGCGGGGGCTTCAGCTCAATGAGAATGTGGTCAATGTTAATTAGCTTATCGATGATCTTCTCGCAGATGAGCTTCTTCTGCACCAGCTCAGCTTCGTTCTCAATCTCGCCGAGAACCTGCTCGAGGTACCAGTCGACCAGCTGCGAGCGCTTGATGCCCTCACTTTCGCCGGCATCAATTTTCGTCTCCTCTCGCTGCAGCTGAATGACCAGCATATTGGTGATGGTCTGGTACATGTCGTAGGAGATTTTGAGCGAGTGCACATTGTCAGTTGATGGCTGTCCGTCGGCGGCGTCATCACCGCCGTTCATGTCCACGTCCTCCTCTTCGCCCTCCTCGTCCATCAGATTCACATCAGGCTGGTCAATTTTGAGAATCGAGTTCTTCAGCAGACGAGAGGCCTCTTTGATGTGGCGGATCTCGACCTGGTCGGAGCAGTGCATTCGAGCCATGGCTTCCGACAGTCGAATGAGTGACTCCAACTGACGGACGGTGATTCGCCAGCTCTGCTTATTGTTTCGAAATGGCCCACTTCCAGCGTCACTGCAGCCGTTCAGGCGAAGCTGCTTGTACGTGTCCACCAGATACTTTTCCGACTCGAGAGTCAACTTTGGCTTAAACTGACGGGCAAACTTGATGTAGGTGCGCACTTCGTCCAGGGTGTAGGGACGATCTTCGTTGAGAGTGGTTCGAGTGCCGTTCATAAAGTCATGCATCTCCATGATTCGCTCGGCAATGGCGAGATCCACCGTCTCGTTGCACTCGTCGAGAAGGACAAAGAAAAGATCAAAGCGGGACATGATGGGCAGCGAAAAGGAGAGGTTCTTTTTTAGCGACTTGGAGCGGTCATAGGTGCCGTTGATGGGATTAGCAGCCGCCAGAATGGAAGTTCGGGCGTTCAGCGTGGCCTTCACGCCGGCTTTGGTAATGGAGATGGTCTGCTGCTCCATGGCTTCGTGAATAGCCACCTGATCTCGAATGTCCATCTTGTCGAACTCGTCGATGCAGCACACGCCCTGGTCAGCCAACATCAGCGCACCAGCTTCGATGACGAAGCCGCCGTCATCAGCGCGAACCACGGCAGCAGTCAAGCCGGCAGCCGTCGAAGCTTTGCCACTAGTGTAGATGGCCCTAGTGGGGGCAAACTTTGAGACAATCTTGAGGAACTGCGACTTGGCCGTACTCGGGTCGCCGACGATGCAAATGTTGATGTCGCCACGAAGGTTGGTGCCCTCTTCGGTCACCTTGGGCACGCCGCCGAACATCTGCAGAAGAATGCCCTTTTTGATGTTGTCGTTGCCAAAGACGGCGGGAAACACCGATTTGCCCAAGTTCTCAATCAGGTTCTTATCGTTGGACATTTCGTCAATCTTTCGAAGTTCATCCTCCTTGAAGTTTTTGTCAATCTGGTCGTTGTTCGACTTGTATCGCTCCTCAAACTGAATGGGCATCTCTGAGCCCTCCAGCGTGACAGAGCAAGCCATGAAGCCAATTTTGTGAGACATTTCTCGAA